AGCATTTTACAACTTGGCATATCCGAATTTCCTGTATTACTACCCTCTAATTTTGAGACCATTTATAGGTGAAACGTGCTTATTTGTAGTGTTGGTCGCGGAACGAGAAACGCTGTCAACATCCCATGACCACAGGGTTCAAACCGCCTCCATTCAGTCTGGGTTGTCAAAGTTCTGACCAGTAGAGTAGTGTCTGGAATTATATTCGCTACAATTATTATTTTGTCTTTTTTTTTTCTAATGACAATAGCTGAAATAAATATGTTAAAATACTTAGCTCTTCAAAGTAGTGGAATCAGATTAGTACACCAAGCGTTTTTTTACGTGCTCTGAGAGCGCTTTTATTCAAAATATACCTTGTTCATACAAATATAAATGGAAGGGTTAGAAGATGAACGATAATGAAATAGTAAAACAAGGAAGCATAGAATAATAATCGGAATGACAGAAACAGTTCATACATTGAGAACAATGCAAATGACTTGGCTTAAACCATGTAAACAAAAGGTATCAACACAAATCAGAGGCTCTCTTGAAAAACAACACCAATAAAATTTCTTTCATATCCAGACTTATCGCCTCACCTCATATAAGTAAGATTTGATAGCAGTAAACAAAGGAAAAAACTGCCAGAACGTAGATGGGATTGTGCTAGCGAACTACAAATGGAAAATAAAAGAAAGCGAAAATTTGCAAAATACCAGGAGTTCATCTACGAACTGCGAAATCTCTAGAGATTAGAGTATGGTCTATAATAGTTGGTACCAAGGTCATTGCAAGAGTCTCGTGCCCACTCACTCTATGATACAACCTCACCTGAATCTATGATACGGTTCCCCTCACTCAACTATGTCTCAATTTTCATAAAATAGTATTCATATAAAATACAAATTTTATTGTAACCTAATTATGTATAATAATGGATCATATGCAATATAGGTGAAGAATTCAACTAGAAAAATTGAAAATGAATACAATGTATCTAAATACAAATTAGAAACATGTCATAATAGATAATTCCCTCTTAAATAAACCATCAATGTATTGCGGCAATTTTTAACATCACGACTTTAACTTGAGATTTTTCTTGTTAAAAAGTTGAATAAAATTATTCAACATTATGGATAAAAAATAGTGTATTTCACGGTTTTTTTTTCTTTTCGAGTATGAGTAAAAGAAATTCACAGATTTGAACGAAAAAAAAACAATTACGAAAGTGTTTCATCCTTCAATAGTCATTTAGTCAGTTATACTTAGTTTAATTTATAACGTGCATAAATGTAGGTAGAAAAAAGAGCAAAATGTTGATAAAATAGGGTCACAAAGGACTGTCCGAGGCCCTCAATCAGACTTGCACCCACCAACTTCCGGTCGGGGGTTCGTGGATAGTATGCACTGGCACTGATTGGCACACTTGGAACAGTTACCAAAATACGAGAACAGAGACTGAATGAATTAAAATTCGAGAAGATTTGTGATTGCTCAGATCACAGTGTACTAGGAATACGAGGATACTGTGAAGGGTACTGGTGATTTGAGTAGACTTGCTGTCTCCTCCAAAGCAATAACTATCATATGAACACGCGTAAAATGTTTATATAATAGTAATTAAAACAATGATATATGAAATAATTACAGCTTAAAATTCCATCGTCCGTCCTCTGTAATGTTAGTGCCTGGTCCGATTAACCACTTGGCTGAACTGGAATATTATAGGTGAGGTGATCACAGATGGGGGAGTGGATAAAATCAAATAGTAACATCTCATTAAAATACATCCTACACTACCGAAAATTTCCGAAAATTTTTAACGTGAACGGAATGTAGTCCGGACATTTATCATTACCCTGAGCAGTATGCATTGTGAGCAGTGAAAGCAGCATACAATGAACCGCTTCGGAGTAGACGGTAGAAAACAGATGTGAAGGCAAATAATTCTTTAATGAACATTTTGCAGAACCTCGTACGCCTTCCATAGTTGTTATGCACAGTGCACTGATGAAAACACAAATGAGATATATGAATCAAAATTTGAACAAATTAACAGAATTTAAACGCTTCGGTTTGCTTTAATCATTTCATTCCATCCCATGGATAGATATAAAAGCCATTAGGCTGCAAGGGGCTACTGAGAATAAAAGAAACGAAGAGAACAATAAAAGAACAAGAATTAAGAAGACAAAAGAATACTATTGACATTGCATTTATATTTTTCAAAATCGTAATTAACAGAAAAGCTGGGAGCTAGTAGAGATTTATACAAGAGAGAAGTGCGAAAGATACTATTAGCATAGAGCTTATGGTTAAAACTAGCAATTTCAACAGTGAACTTATGAAATATAGTACTACGCTAAAATTCATGAAGACGAGATAACAACGAGGAAAGCTCATCAAAACAATTACATGAAAAATTATCCACTATGGAATTTTTTCTTCTGTGTTTTAATGAACGCTAAGCATGAACCGTTGCATTTGAAAGCAAAACGAAAAATGACAGTAATCGATATCAAAAAACAGTTTTGTATTACTACTTGCACGCGTGAACAACACAGTTTTGTATTACTACGTACACCCCTGAAGATGATCTCGGAAAAAGAATACTTGGGAAATGTAAAAAAACGTTTTTCAAAGTTATAGCATATTTCTCACATCAATTAATTGCAATACACGGATGGTTATTAACGGATTTTATTAAAAATAAGCAGACATAATGTCTGTAATTTTTTTTAATCAGACATGCCTAAAAGAGAATTTGCTGCCTAAATGGACACACACACACACACACACACACACACACACACACACACACACACACATATATATATATATATATAAAACCGATAAACAAGAATGTATCAATGATAAATTCTCCTCCCTATATATATATATATATATATATATATATATATATATATATATATATTATATATATATTAAGAAACAAAAAACAACTGACAGGGTAATGCGGTTAAGTTTATTTAATTTTTCTTGTGTTCTTATAATTTTCTTTTATTCGGGACAAAAATTATGTGGAAATTGTCCGAATGTTCTGAATGTCCAAGCGTTTTCGGCTATACTTTTAGCCATTATAAAGGGTGATTTTATTTTTTTTTTTTTTCACTTTTAACTGAATTTATGCAGTTTGTTATGTACATATCTAGAGTTATAGGAGGATTTTATTTTTTAAACACGGTCGTGATATTTTGGCCGTGTTCATAGTTGATGTTATTGAGTGTTGGCTTTTTCTTTTTTATTAATAATGCCTCCATTATTTTAGCTACTTTTTCGTGTGGATTAGGCTATTATATTTGTACTATCAACGAATATGTTGTGAATGATGAACACAAAAAAAATTATATACAAAGCTTAACCGCAGTACCTTGCCACCTGCTTTTAATGAAATGTGTATAAATGAGGGATTCCTGCCCAAAGACACAATTTTATACAGGGTGCGATGGGTTAAATTGTCGACATTTTATATTTTTAATTTCGCACATGTGCGTTGTTTGTTTTTAATTTTGTCAACTGCACAGTATAGTAGGGTCAGTTGGGCATCGTCTGTGAGAAAAGGAGCACAATGACGTAATTCACTCTGCCAGAAATTATTGTGTATTGCTTGGCATTCGCGCCAGAAGCTCCAATACGAACATTTCAGAGTGTTTGGATGTCGATCTGAGGAGTGAAGAGCATTCGAAAATAGTTGGATGAGTCTAATAGTAATTACGAAGGTACGGCTGTTTGAAAAACTCCCTCTGATTGTTCTGATAAGAAAAGAACTCCTGAATTTGTTGGTGAGGTCCTCAGACTCAACGCGGAGACCTACATCAAGTGCCTTGAGAAGGTAGTTCTGACTTGGGTCACGAGGATGGCTGCTGGAAGACCCTATGTCTGGCAACAGGACTCTCCACCATGTCACCAAGCAGGAGAACTTAATCATGGCTGTCAGAAAATTTCTGCGATCACATCACCCCTTACATCTGGCCACTTAATTCCTCAGACTGCAACCCCCTAGATTATTATATGTGGGGCGCAATTGATCGAGAGACCAACAGAACTCTTTGTAACACCAAACATGAACTGAAGGCAAGGACTATGACAGCATTCACCAACTTAAAGAAGGAGACCGTCCAGAAGAGTTGCAGAAGATCCCAAAGTCGTCTAGATATATGTTTAAAGATATATATATATTTAAAATTTGCTATATTTATAGGAAAAGAGTGACCATTATCGGAGATAGAGCGTTTATAGGTAAATACAGACTGTAATCAACATTGTCAATTTTCCGCGTCATTTTTGATCACATTTAGAGTAGGATTTATGACATTCACCATTGATTCCCATCTTCACACTACCTATATGTGTGTGTGTGTGTGTGTGTGTGTGTGTGTGTGTGTGTGTGTGTGTGTGTTATTAAAAAGTGAATCTAAACTTTTCGCTAAATTTTAGTCACAATAAAAGTCAAACCACACGATTTTTATGTGTACTATTGAATGACAGAAACAAATAATAAATCGGAATAAAACTCTTGCAATCAAGATTTGATTCGTTTTAAAGGTCGAATTTAAAATATATAAGTGTTGTTCTGAGTTCGATGTGTTTTATTGAGTTGTTACTACGTAATGTAAGCCCGTCAACTTTAACATTTGATAAACCGACCAAGTTGGTCATCAGGACAAAGACGATTTGAATCTGTAATGACAATAATGATATCATAATACTTGATACAAGAATTCAGAAAATCCCAAGACATCCATCTTTATCTGAAATAGAAAAGATTAATGACTACTGTTCACATAGAAAATCTCTTTCATTCCGTTATTCTCAATGACTTTCTAAGAAACATTTCCATTTATCTTAAGTCTCAACAAAAATATTTAGTAAATGATTGTATCAAACATCATTTTAAAATAAATGAACAAATAATCATATGATAAAGAAAACAATAATGATATATAATTAAATCGAGTAATAATAATAATAATAATTATTTATATATTTTTCTAACGACAATTCTTAATTTTTGGAATGCCTTTCCAGTCGGCAGTATCCATTGTGTAAGTGTCGTCTCTGGCGAAAGATTCCAACTTAAATCCGAAATAATTTTTCAGTAGAATGTTCATGGCTGATTCGTCGAAACGGTGACAGTTGGCGTAGACGGTCTTGGTAAGGGGTGAGTCGCACTGATGCCTACTTCCGACGGGAGAGAGGCAACCTTTTTCCAGAGAGCATAGGATGAGCCATTTGAGAAGTTTGTTCTGGAAAAGATAATAAAATAAAATTCCGATGAAATCATTGCTCGTACAGAAAATACTTGAAAGCACTCCAAGCGGCCAAGTTTTATAAAAAAACAAAATTATCAGTATTTATATTCTTTTATGCTCCTTTGAAAATCATTCAGAAAATGAACTATTATCAAACCGTTATTCTGAAAAGCCAGAGTGTCTTTGAAGAAGGAAAAATACATTGCGACATGAACATTCAGTCTTTCATTTGACCTCAAGTACAAGCCAGTTTGAAAACTACTACTACTACTACTACTACAACAACAATAACAACAACAATAATAATAATAATAACAATTTTGTGGGACTTTACAATATACACACACAGAACAATCAAAGTTAATCTACCAGGAAAAGACCACAAAAGTAGACTGAAAAACATCTTTGAAGATCTTCAAAAAACTAGCAAAATAAAAAGGTTTTGATAGATTCATAGAAGGGATTCCTGGTAGCCCATGCCTTAAAGAAATACAAAAAAAAAATGTACTCACAAGTACAGCTCACATTACGAAGATCTATGTAAAATGTGTGTGATCTTAGTCTTTTTTTTTTTTTTTTTTTTACAAAATGATCAGTGGAAACTGTCGTGCAGCCATTTCTTAACTTAGTACTCTAGTTAGGACCTGGAAGGAAATCTGTATACAACAGAAACCCAAGGAAATAATAAAAATAATAATAGCAATTTTATGAGACTTTACAATATATACAGACAGAACAATCAAAGTTAATCTCCTAGACATATTGATCAAAGAACACAAAAATAGAACGTGATTTCTTGTTAAAATGGCAGTTCCTGCAGACTGTAATGTATCTTTGAAGATCTTAAAAAAAAACTATTAAAATACAAGGATCTTGAATTGGAAATCTAAAAAATGTGGCAGATGAAGACATCAATAATTCCAGTTATAGTTGGAGCTCTCGGTTTGATTGGAAAAGATTTAAAAAATACAAAACACTGTTTTCACAAATATAGCTCACAAGTTGCGAAGGCATTTATCAACGTAAGATGTGTGTGTTCTTAGTTTGTTTATTTTATTTCCTTTTACAAAAATGTTCAGTGGAAAATGTCATCATGACATTTCTGAGCTTAGGTCTCTCGTTGGGACCTGGAAGGAAATTAGTATACAACAGAAATCAAAGGAAATAATGTTCGTGAATGTGTTATGGTAAAAGCAAAATCTACACATCCGAGGTGGGATTCTGTACAGTCCACGACACGACATTACTAAGAATGATGCTAGAAGTTTTAGAGTACTCGCCCTCTTTTGGCCCTCAGCGATGATTTGGTGTGAATATGCAAATGCAAGAAGAAGAAATAGAATAATAATAATAATAATAATAATAATAATAATAATAATAATAATAATATATTGACGATGCTGCTGCTGCTGATGATGATGAAAAAACACATCAAAATCAATGAGAAAAAAATGGAAAAAAAGAAACAAAATATTTAACCCAACTTTAAAGTAAAAAGAAAAAATATGTTCATGCATAAGTCAGGGATTTCAAACCAAATTTTTCAGCCCTAAAGAAGACAATACTTCATCAGACTGACGCTACAAAACCACAAATAAAAAGCTTTACTGAATAACAGACGACATCACTTGAAAAAAGTACCCCAAATCAGCAACAACAGAAATAGGTAGCACATGTAACTAGAAAAATTATATAGTTTAGATCTTGACTTGGTCGTTTTCGATCACCTCTGTCTTGTGACGTATGATTTCTCGTCGACTTCAAGTTCATACTTCTTATATAAACACCAATGCATAAGAGAGGCCACTTTATCATTCGGCACTGACATATACATTGATTGTACTTCTGGTTGCAATCCGTTCAGGATGAAAAAAAAAAACGAAGAAATTTTTCAATTTCACGCCAAATATTCACGAATAAACGATACATATACATATTTATTTTTTTTTAAATTGTCACCCGATACAGGGTTAAATAGCCACTCAAGGAGGAAAGATTACTGAATGAGGTTATTGTATGGACGTGAGAAGTGAAAGTAATTGCAGATTATGAGTATATGTAGGATAGATAACAGTTGACTCTAAATCCTAGAACAGGGCATATATATATATATATATATATATATATATATATATATATATATATATATAGTTTTAAGTTGTGCTATATTTATGGGATAAAGTGCTCAATATCAGAGAAAGAGCGCATGTAAATATAAATATAAAGGTGAACATTGAAGTCAACACTCAGAGGCGACAGTTATATAGTTAAAAAATAACTCAATGGTCTTATGAAATTCACTCCAAGCAAGGCAATAAAGCCACTAAGACGCAAGGGGGGGGGTGCTTAGTATTAGAGAATATGAAAAAATATACTATTAAGGAGAATGGACAATAAAAGAACTAGAATTAAGAAGACAGAAGATAGTAATAGACACTGCATTTAAATTTTTAAAGATAAAAGTTGACTTGAAAGTAAGAAGCTGGAAGAGAGTTCTACAAGCAAGAAGTGCAATAAAAACTGTTAGCATAGAAATTACGGTTACATCTAGCCATTTCAATTGTAAATTTATGAGACCTTGCCACCAATCTAGTATTGCGTTTAAAATCAAAAAATCTAGTTACCAGAGAGAAAAATTCATCTAACAATTATCATGAAAGTATTTATAGAAAATATAAACATTTATATAAAAATATAAATTATGTACCTAGGCGATGTTGGCTTACGGTCATATCACATTGAAACGCCGGTTCTCGCGCGTACATCGAAGTTAAGCAAAGCCGAGCCTAAATAGGTGACCAATTGTGAATACTAATGCTATTAGCGTGGGTGTGCGGATGGTGTAATGGATAACGATTTCGGATTAAAAGTCGGAGAGCCGTTTTCCAATTCAATTTGGGTTCGTTATATTCACTAACGCGCAAATATTCTTAGAAAGGGTATGATCCTCGGACCTCCAGCTATGAGTTAATTAGTAGGACTTGTATCAATAAATCATTATTACATCAAAATAATTCTTACAATCTAAAAATATTTTCTGGCTTTAAATAAGCTGCAAAAGGTTGATAAGCTGTAAAAACAGATCAATTCACCAATCAGTAGGACGATGTTATACCTAGCTTAACTCCATAATATTGTAATATTTTATTTAAATGTTGTAAGGGTTACATTCCATCAGATATCGTAATTTGTTGTTTCCCTGAGTCGGAATCCCCGAGTCGACGCTTATGATTTAATTGCCCCAAATTAAGGTCGATGTCCATTATAGATTGACATATGCACAAATAGATATGTTATTTTTTAATCGAATTCACCCAATGCAAGGCAGTAAAGCCACTAATACACAGATCAAAAAAGATTAAAGATCAAACTTGACTGATAATCAAGAAGCTGGAAGAGACTTCCACAAGCGAGAAGTACGATAGAAAAGAAACTGTTAGCATAGAACTTAGGACTACATTTAGACAATTCAACTGTAAATAGATGAGACCTTGTTAATCTAGTACTGCGCTGAAATTCATAAAGTCTAAGTACCATAGCAAAGAGCTCCGAACAATTGCTACGAAAGTAGTTATAGAAAAGGCACAGGGAAGCAACTTTACAGCGGCACGAAAGTGACTGAAGCTGAGACGTCAGGCCAGGACCAATAATATAGTGTATTTATGGATAATTATATCAAAACTTTATTGTAATATAATATGAATTTCCCCCACCTGAATTCGTTTCGTATTGTGAATAATGACAAGTCGAATCTCAATGTGACTGATTTTCTTCAGCATCTCCATATTGGTGGGTAGGTAAGTGTACATGTCAGGATGAGTAACAGAATAAGTAGAGTAGTGTTTGTTTGACGTGAGTATCAAGAGGTCCTCTTCTTCTGATTCTTTGATCAAACTTTGGAAATGTCCTTTCACCAGTCTCGTGGTCGGATTAATCCACATCACACTACCAAATTCTGCTAATGCCAACTAAAAAAGATATTACACAAAAACGGAAAGTAAGATTGAATATTTACATTTATATATTAAACATTCCCAAATAAGTTCTTTGTTTACGTTTTTTTTTCCTTTTTTTTTAAATATTTCTACAGGTTGGACCAATTTTCTGGTTTCTGTGGAAATTTGATCATAGATTGTCCAATGTATCCTGAGTACTTTCAGCTTTCATAAACAATTAGCAAAAAACTTTATTTTTGTGTTGATTGGATTGTGCCTGTATATATGATACTTGAGAAAGAAAACAAACATGACACCCATCGACACGTGAAAACACGATACTTGAACAAAAAGTGATGTGATACCCATCGATACTTAAAATGAAACACTCAAAAAACTACCAAAGATAACACATTATATACACAATCCTATTAAAACAAAAAAAATCTTTGATAAAATGCTTATGAAAGCCAAAAGTGTTCAGAAGAAATTGTTCAGTTTATGTAGAATGTTTTCCAGGGAAATTTTGAACAATGTCATCTAATCGCTTTCGACTTTCATAAACTATTAAGAAACATCTTTATTTTTGTGTTACTAGAGTTTCGTCTGTGTACATGTATTGCGTTTCCGTTGGTAGTTTTCGAGCTCTGCGTCTTCACGCGTCAGTTGGTAATGTATCGTTTTTTTTTAAATATATTATTAATTGTTAAATATATTAAATATGTTTCTTCTTCAAATGAATGACATTGTATTGAACAATCTATGTTGAAATTGTCCCAGGAACATCAATTTCCACGGGTAGTCGTGAAACTCGCAAGGAGCTTATTCAATTATTGAATTAAAGAATTATGATTTATCAAATGATTCAAATTGTAACAACAGGAAATTCTAATTGGTACTACTAGTTTCATAGTTTTTTTTGTTATAGGCTTATACGTGTATATTAACCGCAGATCACATGTCCTCGGTGATCCGCTTTCTACGAGGTTTGCTTTGGTAAGAGAAAGTGTGTATGACAGAGAGAGAGAGAGAGAGAGAGAGAGTGTGTGTGTGTGTGTGTGTGTGTGTGTGTGTGTGTGTGTGTGTGTGTGTGTGTGTAAAAATAAACGACTAACCTGTATGACGATGGGTCTCCACGAAGTCTCCGAACAATTGTGGACGTGAGCGGGAAACATCCACATCCAGAAGATACGTGTTTCTACATTGCAAGCCGACTCCAACTGAAAAAAAATAACAACGCCAGAATTAATTCCAGTGACAAACAATTATAATAATGACACTGAAAATGATGATTAACTATCACCCTATGACAAAAAAGCCAACATATTTTCCTTTGCGTATTTTAATTTTGTTAGATTTAGATATTAGTCTATTTTTGCCATGATCATATTTTACACACGTAACTCGATATTATATCTCCATTTGCAACATGCGATCCTATTTGAAACAACTCGTCTGATCTTTCTTATGCTTATAAGTTTCATGCTAATAAAAAAAAATTGTGTGCGATATCGACAAGGAAGATTTACGACTGAACTATGAATTTTCATCCCGGTCTAATGACGGTGTTTTGCTACAAATATACAAACTGAAATATTGTCCTTGTCACTTCCGAGACGGTTCGTCTCGAATTGACAAACGACGTAACTCACACATCATACTTTGTAGAGTAAGTGGAAGTGAATATTATCAAATCAAAGGAGCAAATGACAAAAATAAACACCATGCAAGGGCTCCGCGCATACTACCGAGTTTCAAACACACTTCAAATTTTCAATTTAATAAAAATAAATAGCCAATCAAATCAGCTCCTGCCAATAAATAAACACAGGTTTCTGGGGCCTACACGAGCCCATAAAACCATTTAACTTAGCAGAAGAACTGATAGCAGTAAAAATATACGTGTCAATCTCGTCGTCCTATCTTTCTCACCCTTTGATATTATCTCCCAACTCTACACACAATAAAATTCAAAATTCTTTTTAAAATAGCGGAGGTTGCTAAATTTATGATTACAGCTTTTATTTAATAAATATATCACTTAACCGCAACAAATTAATATAGAATTTTAAAAATATTATAAATTATTCTAATTAAAATTTAAAAAAAAATGTAAAAAAATTTTAAAATTCATTATTCATCAAAAAAATGTTTTCGTAAGACAATTGTGTCCATAATATATTTCATCCATAAGATATCCAAAACGAACCTCATTTTCTTGTTAACTGGGGCAAAGAATGACTTGTTAATTTTACCGCCTCCAAAACTAAACTTCTCTTTATTAATCATCTGAGAGACCCCTCTCTGACATCCATCAGCATGGCTGATGCTGACCTCCAGATGTGCTATTCGTTGCGCCTTCTCGGGCTGATGTTCTCGCCTGACATGAAGTGTTAAGACTATATTGAATTCATTGCTAGGTCAGCTAAGAAAATTAGTTCACTGTACCGTGCTAGACATTTTTTTCTCTACAAAATCTATCTTATATATGTCTACCATTTGTTCATATTTAGAATATTGATGTCACATATGGTCCGGTGCTCCTGTTATTTATCTAGAGCTCCTTGATAAAATCCAAAGAATATTATTTGCTTTGATCTGAGTCTCGGCTTGAGTCACTTTTCACTGCCGTAAGGTGGCTTCCCTGTGCCTTTTCTATAGTTGTTCGGATGAGCTCGCCGCTTTGGCACATAGACGTTTTTAATTTAAGCGCAGTACGAGACTGGCGACGAGGTCTCAGCGATAGAGAGTTGTGTTGTTTAGTAAACCGTAAATTCTACTAAAGCTAACATTAGTAGAATTTAGCATGCTAAATGCAAATAGTTTCTTTTCTCGCACTTCTCGTTTGAGAAACTCCCTTCCGGCTCCATGCTTTCCAGCCAACTGTAATCTTCAAAAATTTAAACGCAATGTCAATCGCTATCTACTCTCCTCCTAATTACTCTTTTTTGTTCTCGCTCTTTAGTAATGTTTCTCTTTCACACCCAGTTTTCCCTTGTGTCTTTGTGGCTTTACTGCCTTGCATGGGGTGAACCCGATTAAAAAAACAATTAAAAGCTTTTCTAATTAAACAATGTCTTAGTTTTATCGCATTCTTTTATTTTATTTTAGGATTCAGCGCTAATTTTCTATAACTGGGATCCTGTTTGAAAAATAATTGATGATTTTAATTCCATATAACTAATATAAAAATCATGCCCGACGTTATTTAATTAGAAAAGTTTTGTTTTAATGAATAAGATATATTATGGACACTACTGACTTAAGAAAAAGAAAACGCTATTGTTTAAAAAAAACTGTTGAAACTGCTTTCTTGGTCTCTGTCTTGGTCAATATGGCACCAGTTGTTTACTGACTGGCGGAGATGGCGAGAATTTCGATCAGAGGTCTATTCCTCCACGTTGTCCACCTGAGCAAACCTTTTTCCTTATCAAATCGTCTCCCTACCCCACCTCGTCCATTCACGTTACTAAAATGACCAACGATTTATTTTACTTCTTCGTCTTCGTTGGGGGGTTTGGTTTGAAGCGACTCTCTAGGTGTCAAGCTGTCTGTCTACCAAATAATGACCAAAACACGCGAATTCATTTGTCTACTCTATCCTCTTAAAGTTGGAACACAGAGAAATGGGGGGAAGGGTTTTCACGAAGTCAAAAAGATCCCACCCTTCATTTCTTTCGTATTCCAAAGGCAAGAAGAAAATTGTACTCGGTCAGCTCCCCGCCCCCAATTTGACAATCTGGGACAGACTCCCGCGTGTGTGCTTCTCTGAAGACTACACTATTAAACTCTTCAAGTCAAAGGTCTGTCGTTATCTATCTTCTTTATCCTCATAATTCTTCACTTCCAATCACTTTCGCTTTCATTCATATCATGCACATCATTACCATTTTAACAGTAACTCTCTACATTGAGTGGCTCTCGATCTTTCAATTATAGTGAATTGTAGTATATAAGAAGTAGACAATTTTCTTAACTATCGTTCTATTTACTCAGCTTCGTCTAATCTACCACAAAGGCATAATTGTTAGGCATCCAGTGAGAATCAAACTCGTTTTTGCGATCAGTATAGTGCACAATAATTGCCTTGAGGATATTCGTTGTGCTTAAATCAGTGTGGAATATAGTTAAATCTACTGGTGGTCCAACTCATCCGCAATGACCTGCGATGTTTTAATTGTTGGTTATAAACCAAGTGGACTAGTCTAGTATACGAATCGTTTTTCGTTAGATTGCTAACTTATCTTAGAGCTTACTACCATATCACGTTGAAACACTAGCTCTCGTACGATCACCGAAGGTAAGCAATGTTAAGCCTGGTTATTATCTAGATGAGTGACCGTTTGGCAATACCAGGTGCAGTAAGCTTGGATATGCAGATGGTTTATTGGATAACGACCAACTGAAAATCGGAGAGCCTAGTTCCAATTCCAGTCAGGTTCATTATAGCCACCTACGCGCAAATATCCTTGAGAAAGGTATGAAATTACCTCTTCTTCTCCATCAGTTATGGGCTATTTAGTAGAACATATATTAGTAAACCATCATTATCTAAAAAAAAAAAGAATAATTCTTAGAATCTAAAAATATTTTCTGGCTTTAAAACATTTTCTAGCTGCAAAAGGTTGATAAGCCGTAAAAAAAAACAAATCACTTAATCAATAATTTACCTTAGCGATCTGTTCTTCAGAGAGGTCAATGTGAAAAATCACCAACTTTTTATCTGGCAAAAAGTACTGCACTGACTCAATTAACTTCTCGACGTCGTTCAGCGTCTGGCGTGTGACTGCCGTTACAATAACCGGGAAATGGTCATCCGGGAAATTGAGACGCATGTGGCGTTCCGCTTCTTCCTCAATGTCATGCTCTGTCTTAGAAGCCTTCATCGCGAAATGCCGGCCGTGCACGATTTTGCCCGTCCCTTCCACATCGATCGAATACTTGTAATGCTCATCACCCTGATGATCTTGGCTAGCATCGTGGGGAACGGCTTCGTCTTTGGGCACTTCATCCATGCGCTTTTCTATGATCTCCTTCTGGAGTTTTTCAAGCTCCACTCTGAGTTCTGCTTGCTTTTTGGCGTCGGCTAACCTCCTGGCTTCTTCCTCTTCTTGCAGTTTTTTCTGAATAAGAGAAAAAGGAAGAAAACAGAGGAGGCTACAACGATTATGTATATCAATAAAAGATCGCAATAATTAACAGATATTTAATACCAGCCAATCAGTAGACACCTGATAATGTCCGGTGGGAACATGGTCGAAACATCGATATCAACCAAGTTGAGAACAATAGTTCTAAATGATACAATAATATTGGCAATTACTCATTTTAGAAATGAAATACTAGATTATGTATATGTTACAAATATTGTAAATTTTACAAATGAAAGCTCAAATGTAGGTTATCAAATATATGTTGAACGACCTCTGTAGCATTTGACCATCGAAAACAGATTATTACGCATTTATAATAAAAAATAAAAACGGCTAGAGAGAAGACGGAAGAACGAGAACATGTTAAAATTTATAGAAACGTGTTGCATACATTCACTTCGATCCTGACCATCTTGGGTAAGACGATAAACTACATCCGCGTCATGGGTAAGACGATAACCTACATCCAACAGCAAGGCCTCTGATCCGGAAGTTTTGAGGAGCGTGGAACCACCTCTTAATTGCTGATCTTCCGAGGTTCACCCTAACCCAGGGTGGTAGCACCTGTTAGGGTCCCAGCTATAGGGAAATAGTTAACCCAAAACTGGGGTCAAAACACTTTTTTGAAGAAAAAAAATTATTACCAGTAATACATTTTTGAAAAAAAATATTACCAGCAATAAAAATTGTCGACATTAAATAACCCATTGAGGTTGATATGCCGTAAAACAAAACAAACAAAACCAAACCTGAAAAGGAAACTATCAGTCAGTTATGTGCCATGAGTGATACACACTTAAGCGATCATGTATCTTTCGATGCATGATTTACGAGGCAGATTTTTTCCTGCGGTTGACCAGTTTCCATTCAAGGCCTATATAACCTGGTCTGTCCTGCTATTTACCCATAGCTGGGGGGGAAGAGGATTCACACTTTTCCCAAGGGTATTAGCACGTAAGTGAATGTAATGGATTTGATTGGAATTCGAATTCGGCTCTCCGATTCCTCAGTCCGAGCCGCTATCCATTACTCCACCATGCCTGCTTTACAAACAAACAAACAAACAAACAAACAAACAAAAAAAAAAAAAAAAAAAAAAACCGTCTTTACTCATGAGTCCGGCACGTCATGTTGCAAAATGTTGCGTCCACAAGTTCTGGGGCACAACTCTTCTTAGCGATGCTTATTAATAGTTTGATAGACGTAAGGATCGGGCTCTGCTTATTGGCCGTTATGGGTCACATGACCAATCAAGCACGATGCATGCTAATTGGTGATTGTTTGGTTGCTTGTTTTCTTACCCCTTTTCAAGAATTTGTGGGTTATTTAAAGTCGAAAGATGTTTTGGATTATAAGAATTTTTTCCGTGTAAATATTACATTAACACCTTTTTGAGACTAACAATGATTTTTACTGATAGAAGTACAACTATTTAACCAATAGGTGGAGGGAGATGTATTCATACCTTTCCCAAGAGTGTTTGTGTGTAAGTGAATGTAACGAATCCGACTGGAATTCGAACTCGGCTTTCGGATTTGTCATTTAGCTGCTATCCATCACACCACCCGCACATCCACTACCAATTAACGATATATCCCAATATAGGTATTTTTTTTTACTATTAAACATAATTATAAATTTAAAGCAGGGCAGAGCAGGGTCATTTGGGCAATAGACAGAAATTAAACTGCAGGAGCTCCTACAGAAGGTAAAAATGAGGAAAATGAGAGGAAATGAATAAACATCAATTTTAAGAAGGCAGTATGGTTGTCAGCAAAAGCAACAACTCAAGATTCGAAGTGTGATTTGAAGACACCATTCGTCCAAGCATTAAATATTATTGCCATATCTCGACAAAATTCTCGACAAAATCCAAAGAAGGATCTCTAATGTTATAGGTCCTATCCTGGCATCTCGACTTCAGTCACTTACTGACGTAATCTCTCTGTCTTTTCTATAAATATTTTCATGGCAATTGTTCTAATGAGCTCTCCTCCTTGGTACATCAACCGCATCATTTTAAACGTACTACTAGATTGTCAACTACATCTCGTTGTTTTACTGTTGAAATAGATATAACCGTAAGTTCTATTCTAATAGTTTCTTTTCTCGGACGTGGATCTCTCTTTCGGTTTCTTGCTTCCCTACGACCTGCGATCTTCAAAAATTTAAATGCAACGTCAATCGCCATATTCTGTCTTACTAGTGTATGGGAAGTGGTTAGTATTGAGAAACTTGATAATACTGAGCGAAGAAATAGAGATATCGGAAATAGAAAAAACGGGGTGGTTAATCGAATTGGAGTCTGATGAAAAAATCCGGTTTAAAAATATTAATTCAAACTCATAAGAAAAGCCTCGGAAGAGTTTGAAATCAAATTAAAATAAGTAAGCTTTAATAAGATTCAGTATAACTGACACCCCAACCCGAATCCATAACACCGTGAAAGTTGACATGGCGTGACCAATCAGTTTGCCAAAAGTTCACAGGTTTTCGGTTGCTCTATGGTTTATTTATTTAAAGACAAATTCGTTATATGCGTTAATTTCAATGTAATTTTTCAAACTTAAAAATCCAGGACAAAATCGAAAATCACTTTATGGTTAGACATCTGGTGTTTCTATCAGTAGATTCTTTGTTCGAAAAGCTAATTAATCATGTCTATTTCGATTCCGGAAGCCGATATAAGCGAAATACGCATGCGCAGAAATCAGCGCGCCTCGCAGAGAAGGCGCTGTCCTTCATCCGCCGTACAAATCAATTGCTGCAAAGGCGATAGCGCTCATTCATCTCTTAGAATCAGTCATCTCTTCGTGCCTCAAGTTTAGCAAGGAGGAAATTGGAACGAATTTCTGTTGTACGATTTCAGCTGTAATGAAAGTGTTGATAATTTTTCAACAGCGTCATTTCTTTTGTGGGCACGTTGCACTTTTTTTTCAGCAGGATCCCCTGGCATTGAAGAGGCGGTACGATCGAATGTTCGCACAGACCAACAAAAATCCATGGCTTATGAATTCCTGACGGGTAAATACAACGAACTGGATCGACTAGACGACACATCCCTGTGAAGGAAAGAAGTCACCTTTACCAAAGTGTAGCCTACCCACTGATATTTGCATTCGACTCCTAGAAGAAAGTGTTTCTTTTGATAACCAGTTTCAGCACAGGTTACGTCAGGTGACTACACTGCCAGGGACAGGCTGAACACACACACACACACACACACACACACACACACACACACACACACACATATATATATATATATATATATATATATATATATATATATATTTCCCAACATGAAAATTACATTATTAGCAACCAGTCTAGAACAACAACAAATGAATCCAAAACTGTTTGCTCTAGGGATAGTAACTGTACCTCGTAAAAACCTACTTATAGAAATCACAGTGGTAATCCCCAAAAAAATAGTCACGGAAACCTGAGCGATAATACATCGAAAAAGCCTACTTACAGAAATCACAGCGGAAATACATTGAAATAACTACTTACGGAAACCACAGCCATAATACCCCGAAAAAAACTACTTACAGAAACCTCAGTGATAATAACTCAAAAAAACCTACTTACGGAAATCTCAGAGAAAATTACATCAAAAAACCTACTTACGGAGTCCTCAGAGTAAATACCTTGCGTGAGGTGACTATAGCTCTATGCTCCACTGATGGTCTACTGGGTTAGCACACAACACTTGTTGGGTAATTTAATATCGATTTTTTTGATTTTCATACTTGAGTCCAGACGTAGACATAGAATATGTTTACCTACTTACGTTCTCAAGCAACCACCCGTCAGGTGCCTTCTTTTAGTCGGACTGGTCTTATTCCTCTGCAGGGGGCACAGTAGGCGTATTCTAGGCTCCTGTCAACTGGACAAAGTAATTGGTCATAAAAAACTATATATATTTATTAGTTACAGATTGTACCGACATATATGTAGTAATTGGTCTTGGTTGGTTGGTTGGTTTCTGTCTGTACGAGAGGGAAAGAAGAATGGGAGACTGTGTATGCTTACACGAAAATGAGTGAGATAGAGAAAGATAGGGTGTGGGAAAGGGTGTTCGCGTGGAAAGTAGAGATTATAAAGTTTTATTTTTCTCCTTCCTTGTCAATGCCCTTGATTCGGTAGTTAATATTAATCACAGATCGAATATCATCTCAGGTCAAAATCTAACTGATAACTCCATGTCAGAATACGGATACATTGATGCACAGCATTATGCGTATGTGAGAAAGCGTGTCTCTTTGCGTGCATACGTGTGTTTGTTTAGACAAGCGTTTCTCAACCGGGGTTTCCCGGAACCCTAAGGTTCCTCAAAAGGTCCCCAGTAGTTCCGCGAGAACAGGTTAGATAAGCTAATGCACTTTTGACTTTTTATTTAATTTCATATACGTAATATTACTAAACACACAATATATTCTTGGTTATTGTAATATTTTAATATAGACGCCATCTTATGTAACCTATTATGTTATTAAAATATATAACAATCACTGGGAATATATTTAGTGATGTCTGTACGGTGCCAGTGTGAAACCACCTTCAATAGATCATCGCCCACTCAGCGTACGGATCTGTACTTAAAGTTACTTATTTCTTTGTTTTTCCTTTATTTTTACAGAAATAAAATAATTAAAAAAACTGATGCAGAAATTATCTGTTTTCGTTTTGTTTACATTTATACTATAGGTATATAATAATGGTTACTTCTTTTTATTTTTACGTTTGAGTTTACAATTTTTTGTGTGAATAAAAACTCCCTGATGAAGTATTAAAAACGAACAGTAGGAATTTTATTTAGCATTACCGAAATATTTGACAAAGAAGTATTAACTTTTCTTTAAACCAGTTATTCAAAAATATATACTATGATATTTACCACGTGAACTACAATGAAAATAAAATGAGAAAGACATGACATATAATTTTTTTTTTTTTTTTTTTTTGCAGGGAATTCCTCGAGACATGTAATTTATTTTAAGGGTTACGCAAGGGTAAAACGTTTGAGAAATGCTGGTTGAGACTAACAAATCTGTCATGTCTACTTAAATATTCTCCGACATTAAATATTAAGGAAGAGACAAAAGTGTTACGTTTAAAACTATTTTGCAGTTGACTTGCCAACAATTATTGCAGTCATCATCACCATCATAATAATAATTATTGGGTGAGAGAGTAGCATACTAGAAGATGAACACTGGGGAAAATATATAGAAAATCAAATACACCCATCATGACCTTCAGTCGTATATGAGATAACCAAGCACATGCAGTCAAAACAAATGCGTGGGCTACGATGACAGGTCCTGATAAAAGCAGAGTATATTTTTCGGTGGTAAGATTTACTTTGAAATACCTTCAGGTCGGGCAACCAAATCTGCTAAGATAATGTCTGGTTAAGGATGTTCTCAATTATCTAGATGTAAATTCCAAGACGCCTTGGTGGTCTTATCATTCAGACTCATCTTTTGGGGATGCGAAAGACATTGTGTTTATTGATTATCTTCAAAAAGGCCACACCATTAATGGAGAATACTATGCCTGCCAACTTGCTGATGCATTTACGAAAGGCTATCAAGACCAAACGTCCAGAAAACTGGTGAAAGCGGTCTTGCTTCATCAAGGTAATGCTCCAACACAGAATTCCTTGGTTTCAACGGCTGCAGTGCGTGACTGGCTGATCACCCTCCTTATTCTCCTGATTTGACTATCATCTATTTCTCAACATGAAAAAATACTTGATTGGCAACCACTCTAGGAGTGCAACAACTATGAATCTAAAACCGTTTGCTCATAAGACTAGCAAATCTACCTCGTAAAAACCTACTTACGGAAACCTCAACAGTAATACCTAGCGTGGGGAGACTATGGCTCTATACTCCATTTGGTTGCATACAGGGTTACCATGCAACAACTCTTGTTGGGTAATTTAATGTTGAATTTATTTTTTGTTTTTCATACGTAGACGTAGGACATGTTTATATACTTGTGTTCCCAAGCAACTACCCGTCGGGTGGCGTTTTTTTTAGAGAAAGTTGATTTCAAATTTTGGTTAGTCTGCCGGCTAGTTTATATGGGTTGTTACATTTTATATAAAAAATACTCAGGTGATCTTTTAAATAAGTTATAAACAAAACTACTCTCGTTTCACCACCATAGAGAAACTTCCCTTCTCCCTATTAACATGGTTGATGTTCGACTTCAGAAGAGCGCCTCACTGCGCCTTCTTGGCCTCACGTTTTCCACTGACCTGAGGTAGAACAACTACAATGAATCAATAGCTACATCTACCGCAAAGAAAGTTGGTTCTCTCTGTTGTACCAGAAGGTTTTTTCTCGTCCGAGTCCATCCTACACATCTAGAAATATACCATTCGTCCATGCATTAAATACTGTTGCCATATATGGTCTGGTGTCCCTGTTGTTTATCTTGAGGTTCTCGACAAAATCCAAAGACGGATCTGCAATGTGATCGGTCCTGACTTAGCTCCTCTACTCCAATCACTTTCTCACAGACATGATGTGGCTTCCCTCTGTCTTTTCTACATATATTTTCATGGCAACTGCTCTGACGTGCTATTTTCCCTGGTGCCCCGACTGCATGAATTTAAGCGTGCTACTAGGTTGGCATCTAGGCCCCACCCTTTTACTGTTGAAACAGCCAAATGTAACCGTCTCTTCTACTCCAACAGTTTCTCTCGCACTTCCTGACAGTGAAACTCCCTTCCTTTTACTTGCTTCCCCAATAACTACAATCTTCAAAAATTTAAATGTAACCTCAATCCTCATCTTCTGATGCCTTGATCCCCGTTCTTCTTTTTATCCTTTTCCTAAGAAAGGAGTATTGAACTGTTACTTGATATCTTTCCTTCTATATGGTAGTAAATGCTGGACAATTTCCTCAAAGTTAAAGCATCAGAAATGTGGTTCTACAGAAGGATGTTGAGGATACCATGGGCCGAACATGTTAGCAACGACGAAGTTTTAGAAAAAATGGAAACAAAAAGGAAACTTATACTTAACATCAGCAAGAGGGAGTTGAGATTTCAGGTTCACATAATGAGGAAGAAGGGCTTCGCAAATCTGATACTCACGGGACAGTTTGAGGGCAATAGAGATAGAGAAAAACAACGCATAACCTACCTGGTGAGCTTAATTAAATGGATAACGGAACAGGGTTTAGGAAAAATAACGAAAAGCCAAAATTTATTAAGAGCTAGAAAGGACAGGAAAGTGTGGAGAGTCATGGTAATCTACGTCCTGAGACGCAGGACATAAAGAGAAAAACTTCAGGTCAGAACACCTGCACACTTTTTTTCTTACCTGTTTCTCTTCGAGTTCGTCATGGTATAACAATATCAATAAAATCATTGCTTACCAATTTTTCCTCTTCCTGTTTTCTTAATTTTTCCTGATGCTGAAGCTCCATCTGGTGACGTATTTCCTCTTCTTTTCGCAATTGTTGTTCGAGTTTCAATGCTTCTTCTTTCTTTTCAGCCTCCGCTTTGGCTTTAGCCTTGCTTTCCTTCGCCGCTGCTTCTACTTTTCTGATGGTTTCCTCTATCTCTAATTTTCTAAGAACTTCCGCTTCCTCTTTTTGCCTTTTCTTTTCTAGATCCTTCGCCTTTTTTTCTTCAGCAGCTTCTTTCGCTTCAGCTTCCTTTCGTTTAGAATCTTCTTTCCTTTTGGCTTCCTCAGAGTCAGCGTCCTTAAACTTAAGCCCTTTGTCTCGATCGTCTGACCGGTCTGATCTATCGTCTGATTTCTTTTCAAGACTTTCCGGAGGCTTCTTTTGTTCTTCCTGTAGCCGGTCATCTTTGATTTTCTCTGATTCTTTAATCACTACCGGATCTTCGTCGTCGGACATAAGTTCCTGAAATATGAAATGAAGATAAGAAGCAATTACAATACAGTTCGAATTATACCACTTTTAATGGTTATTGAAACATGATTGGTTCATCAGTAATGCGTTAAAAGTAAATAAACGACTAAACTGCATCATAGTTACCAGATATATTCCCATATATTTCTCTATAAGATGCTGGAGCACGAATCCGATAAAGATCTGGACATTATTTGAAGCCAACGTCGTTAAAGATATGAATATTGCTTGTTTATTAAAAATAAGGCTCCCTTTTAATAATCTAGACTCCTTCTTTAATAGCCAACTTGTACGGTGTGCCCGCCCTGTCTTTGAAAGATAAATAAAACAGCATTTTTGATTACACTGATCATTATTTGACAAATAGTTGTAAATTGAGGATTTATCCACAAGCAGTTGCTTCATTGCATGTTCAAGGAAATGAGGATATTTAAATTTTATATGAGTCTTGAGGCTGCAAAGAATAATCAGGATGTTGCTTAAAGTCAATTTCACTAAAGATCTGAATATTGCTCAGTCAGTTTCGATAAAGATCTGGATATTGTTTAACGTGTTTCGATAAAGATCTAGATATTGCTTAAAGTCAATTTCGCTAACGATTTGGATAAAACTTAGCCAGTTTCGATAAAGATCTGGATATTGTTTAACATCAGTTTCGATAAAAATCTGAATATTGTTTAACGTCAGTTTCGATAAAGATCTGGATAATGTTTAACGTCATTTTTGATAAAGATCTAGGTATTGTTTAAAGTCAGTTCGATAAAGATTTGGTTATTGCTTAATCAGTTTCATTAAAGATCTGGATATTGTTTAGTCATTTTCGATAAAGATCTGGATATTGCTTAAAGTCAGTTTCAATAAAGATCTGTATATTGCTTAAAGTCAATTTCGCTAAAGAGCTGGATATCGCTTAGTCGGTTCGATAAAGATCTGGGTGTTGCTTAGTCAGTTTCGATAAGCATCTGGATATTGCTTAATGTCAGTTTCGCTAAAGATGTGGACATTGCTTAAAGTTAGTTTCGGCAAAGATTTGGAAATAGTTTAACGTCAGTTTAGATAAAGACCTGGATATTGCTTAGTCAGTTTCGATAAATATCTTGCTATTGCTTAAAGTCGATTTCGCTAAAGATATGGTTATTTATTAAAGCCAACTTGTTTAAAGGTGCTGACATTATTTAAACCTAACTTCGCATGTTGCTGAAAGCCAATTTGATGAAACCAAACTCTTTACAGGTGTTTAGTATGATTTAAAATATACTCTGAAGATAACTGATAAACGTACTAAGAATAAAAGATAGGCTAATTACAAAAGAACATTTTTTGCCTTTCTCTAAAATCAAATTTTTCCATCAACAAAGAAATTTGCTGTAATGTGAATTTCTGAGTCAATACGCTAAAAGATATCTGAAGCTTCATCTAATAAAGATTTATGGTTGGTAAGTTCGTCTCACAGCACAATTCCTGAGTGCAATGAAGTTGATCCTCCTTAGGGGATCCACACCTTGGGCCTAATTATACTCTAAACTACACTTTGTAGATATTCTAACTGGGCGTCCTATTACAGTGGGATTGTGTCAGAATAAGAATTGAAGCCGCTTTCCGTAGAGTGCTGGCAAACATGATTATCTCGTAGACCAATTCATTAGTATAGTGAATTTTACCGTTACCATAGCTCGACTATTGTGGTTTCGTGTCAAAGCTAAATATGTATTAACAATGTTTCGCAAACTTATCTCACAGAGCAATTTGTTAATCTAATTAGGTGCTCACTTTTGTCGCCTTGTGCTAAAAGCTAAGCTATTCTATATATAAACACATATTGTGGCCTTCATACAAATTGCTTCTTAGTTTCGTAAATATATTTAGCTTTGCTAATGAGTCCCACAAATTTTTCATTAGGCAAGTGATTTCAATATTTATTAGATTTTTTTTAATCTCATATCTCTTCTTGCTTTTTTTTCTAAAAGACAAAACATTAACCTGAAAACTCGAGTCATGTTCTTAAATAGCCTCATCAGATCGAGACTTTCATATAGATGTCAAGCATGGCGCCAATCCTGTTCATAAATATTTAAAATGTCAGTTGTATTTCTAAAATCACTAATTAAAAATGGCTTTGAGCGAGTGAAGCCTACGGGTGTGGGTGAAGACAACACTTCTTCGAACCTTGTGTACTGGCGCTACAGAATCACAAAGAACTGTACCAAATAACAGAAACTACATCACTTGAGAACTTTCAATAGAAGCAACAGCCGAAACGGATACCACATGTAACTCGAAGAGAAAACACTGACGTAGTCATGATATTGATACTCCACACTACTTCAAATAAAAGGTTAGGAAGGAAATCTTCTTCAATACTAGAAAGAGCGATGACAGCTACTGGAGTTGAGAAATCTATTTTCCTGAAAAATCTCTTTAAAAGAAAGATTTTATAAATTTCAACCAACAGAAGTAAAATATGCTCGGTCAATGAAAACTGAATAAGGAAACGACTAATATTACCATTAAGATTAAGCAAGAGAGTTCGATATTTATTGATTTTACCTGATCATAAATATTATTTAGGTATTAACGAAAATATACAATTTAATTTTTTTAAGATATTTAACCAGTATCTATTTTAATATTAATCCTTAAGTATTATTTTAACTAGAAAAGATTTTAAGAATATGTAATTCTGAAAGTCCTTTTGGGCCACCAAGGCACCGTTTTTACTTCTAAAAATAATCATTTTAAAAGTGTTTTTTTAATCCGTCACCAGTATTTCATTGTTAATCTATGTATGCAGTCCGTGCGACCATCTGTCACCGTATCGTTGCCAATTATAGATTATGGTCGGCTGTGATTTTATAGTGTTTCATCGCTTGGACTGTAAACAGTTTGGCGAATGATTACTTGCGCCATCTTGCTTACAGAATATTTGCTTCAATCATTAATTGATATTTACTAAGCTAAGCATAGTTCGGTGCAAATCTGAACGAAAAGAAATACAGAGTAGGAAGATTCCTGTTGCGTCAAGTTTACAAGTGGGGAGGGCCTGCTTACACTGAAAAAGCAAAATTTTAATTTCTGGCTTTTTACCTCCCTTTCGTTTGAAAAAAAAAAATCAATAAATATTGAACTCTTTTGGTTAATGATAACGGTAATATTAGTCGTTTCCTTATAAGGGAATATGCGGTTTTCATTGACCTGTACTACTGCTGGTTGAAATTTATAAAATCTTTCTCTTGAAACGATTTTTCAAGAAAATATAAAATAGCCTACATATATATATATATATATATATATATATATATATATATATATATATATATATATAATAATAAATCAAGAATAAACCTTAAAGATCTATTTCGGTTATAATTTATTTCGTGAATATTGTTATATTCATCGCCTCGGACCGTAAGTTTTTAATAAATGGAGGCAATACATGATATACTAAATTAACAGGAGGATTAATAGCCTGACGTGCTATACAATTTAGCTACATGTAACTAAATGGTATAGCACGTCAGGCTATATGACGGCTAAATGGTATAGCACGTCAGGCTATATGACGGTTCCGTGAAGGATACAGGTTCGATTCCTGTCGGACGACACATTTTCTATGAGATTTCTCGGATATTCAGGTCGGAAAATGTTGTTAATACTTAATAAACAGAGCATTTACTTAAATATTTGTTTCTATGAAAATAACGTATAAACAGAAAATATATTACAAATATATTAAAATAATTGTCGAATATATATATATATATATATATATATATATATATATATATATATGGCATTCAATTAGAGGGTTGAAAAAGAGAATTAAAATGAAAATGTGTCCGGGCACCGAAGTATTTACCATACTTGTTAAAGAAATTATATTAGAAAGAGAGGAGACATCAAATTCTTGTAGAGTAATTCCCATTGTCCTGAGAAATGACATGATCTAACGATATACAAAGTCAATGGATAATTCATTTTTCATATCTATCTAACTCCTTTCGCCCTGTGATATCATCAAACTAAAATGTCTCCTCACTGGTATGCCACAATAGTTTGCTCGAGAATGAGTGAGAGAGTAAATGGGTAAAGCATTTTCATATAACTACGTTATCTGCTCATGATCAGGTAGCAGAAGCAACAAAATACCGTCGACACCATCATATATATATATATATATATATATATATATATATATATATATATATATCGGACGTATTTGAGTAGAAATCTTACATTTTTACAGAAATTCTAGTATTTTTACTTTTGCGTTATTTCTTTTTCTCCATATCTCATCCTCTAGTGAAGCTTTAAGAAAAGTGAAAAATGTAAAATTGATATTTGTTCTTTATCTTATCATTCCATTGGATTCCGGTCCATATTTCATCCCACCTTTTATATATATATATATATATATATATATATATGTAGAGAGAGAGAGAGAGAGAGAGAGAGAGAGAGCGCATCCCGATACTAAAATTAAAGTTACCTTTTAAAAAGCCAACCGAGCAATCAGATAACAAAGCAGCCACATTGCTAAAGCGATACACGTCCGCTAAGGCACATACCTGTAAATTAAACAATTGGTAATTTGAAAAGATCGTCTCACCTTGCCTATCCACACTACACCTTGCACAAGCAGATATCCTAACAAAAAAAGCACTCCGTATCTGCAGTACCGACGGCATGTTCTGGGCCTCATGGTGACGTGCTGATACGAATTTCGGCAGTAGACCAGTTACTGGTCCTTTTGCTTAGAAGTGATAGACACCAGCTCTCAAACTGTTGCAGTAAAAAAAAAAAAAAAAAAAAAAAAAAATGCTGAAATCTCGATTCAATACGTGTCCTGTTGAAAATTTGTGGTGGCAGCCGGTCGCCATCATCATCAGCGTCAAATTTGCAGACGACAGATTTGCATTGACATCTGATATTTGTACGTTTGAATGGAAAATTGCAGGTTTGTATGTGTGTGTGGGTATGTCTAAAAGTTTACGTGTACTTGAGAAAAGGAGAGGCAAGCAGACAGACGAAGAGAAAAAGAGAGTTTACTCGCATCTACACGTATAAATACGAGCGTCAAAAAAAAAAAAAAAAAAGAAGGTAGATGGTAGTTTCCGAAGACACATTTATACACGAGTATTAGTGGGAGTGGTGAGTTTGTCAATAAGTGGAAGCGTGTCACTTATGGATTATACCTGAAGGGGTATATGTATGTTTTCTGGTACGTAGGGTGTTCTAGCCTATATGTGTATAAGATAGCCAAGAATAACGTTTGTTTGGAGCTTAACATTGATAATGATTATTATTGGTTATTACGTGAATGTTAGTTCATCACGTCTATAAAAATAATAACTGTTATAATAAATTCAAAATGAAGTTTTATTTCAGTCATTCTTCATCATCAATTTGTCTGGGTTGGAGTAACACTGGCAAATGTAATAGAGTATGTATATAGGAAATATACCCTATTTCTAACACAATTACATACCCACATATATGGACGCGTGGCCGAGAACGTTCGTTTTCTGACCATGAGACCCATGTTCAAATCTCACTATGGTCGATTTGTCAGGAAGGTGAATTCTTGATGTTATCAGTCTAGAGGAGGCGATATCAGCGTGCGGCACCTTTGGAAGGTGCCTGAAAACCATATTGAGTGAAATTGGGTAGACGGAACCCTTTGGGAGTTGTCGATTGTTGTGATAGCACAAGTCAACGTGACCGAGGGTTTGAGTTTGTTGACCTTGTTAAGACTGTTCATTACGATGGATACCGTGCTCTTTTCTAGAAATTGTAACTAAGGTCCGCTTAGCATAGTTGCCGTATAAACCACAAGTGGGCTCTGTGGGTGTTGATCTAACACAAATTTGCCTGAGCAGGCGTATGCAACAGGCATTAGCTAGACGCCCTGGTAGACGGGCATATTCGGATACGAGTGGCCAGACATCCATTCACAAACCCACATATATAGCATATTAAAACACGCCTAAACTTATTTTCTACCCAATAATAGGCAACATTTACAAACACGCAACACATACTGTTTAAATAAAACTGCCTATTGGTTAGAAATTTGCATCACCATGTGAAATATTTGACCAATCAGAGAAAATTAAAATCATGATTTTCTCTAGCCTAGTTTCGGGAAAAAAGCCACAGATTGCGACTTTCTCAAATCCGTACAAACATTCAACTAAAGGGTATTTTTATTTTTTTTGACTCTGTTGAAACTCTGAATATGTTTGTAAATACAAATGATTTATTTAACAGGCATGAGACCATGTTTTCTTTATTTTGATTTTGTTATTGTTTGGAATTCGGACGTTCGGATTTTTAATATAAAAAACCTGGACAACTGAATTTCTTACAGGTGTATTAACTTGATAAACCATTTCCATTTTTATGGCGATTTTCTAAGCGTAGCTTAGATGTGGCACAAGGCCGAAAGTATAGGGCATCTATTGAGGATCAAACTCACTACTCAGTCGTAATTGTTCTAGCGCAACAAGCTTGCTATCCATTACATCACATCTTCTCTCGTAAGATTAATTACGACTTCAAACGAAACATCTCAAACAACAAAAGTAGAGACAGTCAGTGAATCTTTGCTGGCGATTATGTATCGGCGACTTCAAATGAACCACCTCCAACAACGAATATGGTCAGTGAATCCTCGCTAACGATAAAAGTCTTTTCTCAACCACAGATTTTTTTTCTGTGGATCAACTGTTTAAAAGTCTTTTCTAAACTACATAATTATCCGTGAACTATCTAAAGACTTTAACTCAACTAAAGACAATTTTTAATCACATCTGACTTTTTGAATTCATGTTCATATGTTTGTAAATACAAATGATTTATTTAAGTGAAATGCCCGTATTTTCTTTATTTTTATTTTATTATTGTTTGAAATTCGGACGTTCGAATTTTTAATATAAAAATACAGGACGTCAGAAATTCTTACATGTATATATTTTGTGATGTCAACGAACACTCGTTGCCACTTTTTTTATGCTCGTTGCAGTAGAGACTTTGTAATCGCAGTTACAACTATAGTACGCCGTTGAACAATGCTGGTGTCAGACGACTTTGAATATCACTCACACTAATAGTACTTGCTCGATAATACTCGCTCGAAAAGTAATCACCGAATAGTAATCCGTATAGTGATCAGTATAGAGAAACAGTATAGTGAATAGAGTACAGAATAGCGGTCCATATAGTAATAGAGGATAGAGTAGAAATAACGATCTGTTCAGTGATAGATAAGAAATAGCGACCAGTTAGACGTCACGCGACTTCCTATATATGCGTTTACTCTGTGGTCACGTGATCTACTTCATTCAATAATGGCATCGCCTGTGCTTGCTCACTGACGATGTATGTTCAAACTCAAGTGCCAGCAGCGACCCTTTATTCCTATATAACAATATATATGCACGAAGATACATTGAAAGTGTCAGAAACTACGAGTCCCCTGCGATTAATATAAAACCGGGCTACTTGTGTTTATCGCCTGCTCTTACTAAATTTTTTACTAAAACAAGGTGAAGTATATAAATATCTAGAAAACTAAATATATGAAGACCAAATAGAATTGGACTTAAAATCTAATTCCTATAAATATTTGAAGTTAAAAATGAACTGTTCAATCACTTGACGTGATGAGTCTTTTTCTAATGACGCTGGATAAACAGCGAAACATGTCAAAATGGATGCCATATATTTATCATATATATATATATGTGTGTGTGTTTGTGTGTGTGTTATTATTATTATTTATTTTTGGGTATTAAATCAAAAACATGTTAAAAATTGTTACACAATTGTAATTGTGTTTCGACGCATATCAAGCGTCCCCTCAGGCGATCGTAAATTATTGGCGAGTGAACGATTAATCTAATTTCAAAAGTAAAATACATCCTCTTTTTTTAGAAAAAATATATGCTTGACCAAGCAAAAATGACCTACATTAAATTCAAACTAAGCGAAAAAGAGATTTATTTTTTAGAAATGGGTCACACAGGAAGTTGTCTGCAAACAGATCGCAGACATTAGATTAAAAACTTATACAGATGGTTACGTTAATTCATGAAGTGTATACAAGTCAGACAATCACTTTCCCAAGAAATAAAAGCGGAGGGGTAAGGAGGTTAATTTAACTTAATGCTAACTTTTTATATGCCTTGTGAGTTTCATACATAAAAAAATTTGTAGGTGATAAATAAGAGGCCTCTTCAAGAAACTACTAAATAATTTAAACGTATAGAATTATTTGGCAAATTAATATGCAACCGTTAAGTAAAGAGCATCCATATTAGATATTAATAATACCAACCAATCAATGCAAGATGCTAAAAATACTAAGTAACAGTACATCCATATAAGATGTTAATAATACTAACAGGAGATTAATACAGAACTATATTAAATCTAAATTAATCTTATAAATAGAAAAATAAACTAAGGTGCATCGCAGTTCATCCACTAAAAATATATTAAAAAGCATTATCAAATTCCAAAGTTTAACTAAATTGCAAGGTACACGGTAGACCATGTCTACAATTCACAGTTAATTCACTTCTTTGATTTAATAAGGAATTTTTTATCAAAAAATCGAATAATTTCCAATTTTTCATGTAAACACAGAAAACAGTCCACATTAAATTAATCGTTCACTCGCCAGTAATTTACAATCACCTGATGAGTCGCATTGATATGCGTCGAAACACGATCGCAGTTGTATAGAGATTTTTAACATGTTTTTGATTTAATATCCTAAAAAAAATATTTTTCTCTACTCTGTATTGAGTCCTCTTTTAAATTAAATGTTACGAACGTTGGAATTGTACTATATTCGTTCTCATTTTACCTGAACACACACACACACACACACACACACACACACACACACATATATATATAATGGCAAATAATTATGACATCCTACACGTACGCACATCCGCGTAGATGGGAGCACGCGAATGCACATCCGCGCAGACGGGCGGATGCACACACACACTTGAGAAGTATACGCAGACAATTGTTGATACCCCTTCGCATCCTAAATCTGAGCAAACATCAGAATTTAGAAATTAAGTAGTTCTTTGTTAAGTCACGCAATTTTCAGCACACCTTCGGGTATATATTCCAAACTGACAGTAAATGAAACTACACACTATGGTCAAACCGCCAGCCAGAGCCACTCGGAGATAGGTTGCTTCTTGAAAGTGGCCAAGTTCTTTATGCTTATAGTTAGGATCAAGTTAGAGTGTTCTAGCAGGAATTTATACTCTCAAGCCCATAGAAAGGAACGTTATAGTCGGCCAGACACCATAAGAACAGTTGAGATGTTCAGAACATCATCAGTCACAGCCCCAACAATTAGATGAGAGTCAGAGTAGAGCTACCCAAAGTGGCGGTGTCCAGTATCAGATTTTTTTATGCACAAGAATACCCGACGTCCGACGTGATAAGAGGAGCGCAATTTATATACGTCAAGACCCAGAAGAATCTTGCGATCCGACCGAAGCGCTTACTGAACAAGCTCGGTCGCCAACATCAGAACTTGAAGTTAAGCAGCAGAAACGATAGGCGACTCTATACAGACCCCACAGAGTTACTGTGATGAACATCAAGCCATTCAGCAGTGGTATTAATTATATTTTTAGCTATTATATATAGGTTATTAATACGTGGGTT